TCCACATGGCTGGATTCTTGGCATAAAAAAAGCGCTGGGAAGGACAAGAAAGACGTACAATACCCCCCAGAAAGAAGGTATTACTTTGGAAACAGTCAATGTGGCCAAAAAACAAACAAAGAGTGCAAGGCAAAAAACAGAATAAACGAACGCTGCTTTCCGAGGAGTCCGGTCCATCTGGGTGGATAGACCGTCGAGGCTCTGGCTAAGGCCTCAGGCCTCTTAATCTCAGGTGACCAGCAAGTCAGGTGTGTCCTCAATCAGTGAATCAGGGTCCTCAATCAGCGCGGGCAACAGCAGAGGAGGAACATTAAAGGGCCATACAACCCAACAGGAGACCAGTCCAGGGCGTCAGTCAACAGATCACGACACACAACATCCACGCTCATTCGTTCAACTCCACAAGAACCAACACCAACAGAGGAAAGGTGAAGTGAAATCCGTGTTCAGGGCGGGGGGGGGGGCAGGGGGGGGCACGAAGGGGGGGGGGGACGGGAGAGTTAGCTAGACAAGACTAACTTAAGCTTTAAGATCGCACTATCATCGGCTATACTTTTGAACTAATATGAGGTGGAGGAACGAGAGAGGAGTATATCACGCAGTATTTAATACTTTTTATTTTTCAAATACAAACACGGTATCATGCATTTCTAGCCATTTCCTCATTCAGCTCAATTTAAAACACTGTCTTTGCATGGGCTGATTCTGTGAGAACAGCACCATCTAGAGGCCTGGCATATGTACTACAGCGTCTCCAGCGCTTTCGAACGGCAATGTCCGTGGCTGTCTCCTCCTGATTGGTGGAGTTGGCCCAATAGCCGTAGCGCCACTTCTGTGACGTCACAGAAGAGTTCAAATCTGGATCAGTCTGTATCAGATCCGTTGCAGCCCCTTTTTAAGAGATTTGGGTATGGAGGAAAATAGAGAGGGTTGTGTTTTCTGACACTTTGTGAGTTCCCTGGAACACCGGGGACACATATTCATGTATAAAAGACATACAAAAGTGCATTTTGCATGATAGGTCACCTTTAAGCTATACGTTAGACTTAGTTTCAAATCGATTAAGCATTGCTAATAGAAGACAACTGTAAATTAACACTAGAACCGCCAAGGGATTCATTTTGACTAACCCTGATACTGACGGGCTGCTCACCCCCGCGTCAAAGTAAACTGCACACTGAATTCAGATTATTTATCTTTCTCTCGATATGGACATAAACGAGTGAAGTCTAATCTGACAGGACGGAGACACGCAGCTCTGCCCACCTGCAGCTCCTCCCGCTGTGATGCAGCGGTGAACGGAGCAAAACACACACTTCAAGTCAGATCATCACCCTTAGCTATTTTAATTACCTCTCAAACTACCTAAACTAGTTATAAATATGTTTATTTTTACTGTCGGGTCACTCATTACTGGATCAGCTGCTGCTTGAGACAGACACTGACGCTGTCCGAAGAGAGGGAGGAAAAAGAGAGGCTCCATGTATTATATTATTATATTATATAGAGTCGTTATTCATTTGTTTTAAAGCTCAATAAATAACAAAGAAGACCTTTGACCGGCACTTTTATAATTTTGTCCGGAAGATTTAAACTTTAACACACGTTGGCGAAAAACTCTGCCCGGTTCCCTCGGCCCCCACCGCGGAGAATAAACAGAAGGGCAACCATGACAACCATGCTTCTTCGCTGCTTTTGTGGAAGAAGTTACAGCGCCATGAACAGGCTCGGCATATGTACTGCAGCTTCTCCAGCGGTTGGAGCTAAACGGAGCTGTCTCGTGTGGACAGACCATAGACTGTATAGACACTATGTGGACGGAAGCTTTTTTGTGACTGCGTTTGCGTTAATCCTATGCGTTTAGCCGTATGCGTCCTCGTGTGGCCGGGGCTTTAGAGTAGATTATACATGTAAATAGGAATTAATTAACTGTAAAGTTAATAGATACATGTACAGTGATCTGAGTGGAAATCATACTATACATTAATAGTCATCTAAAAATGTAATTATTCTATGTGTACAGTGTATTCTCACACCCTATGGTGATCAGTGCGAAGTTGAATTGTGATTTAACTTAATATTACATAACTGAGATTACTAACAACATAACATCGTAATTCCTCACATAACTAATCCAAAACAGCATTGTCTCTTGGCTATTTTCTCCTATTTTGCTGCAGTTCTCATTGGGTTTCACGCTTTTGTTGAAATGTTCCTCTTTGCCTCAGTTCCAAGTCAGTGCCTCCAGGGGGCTTCTGAAGCTGCCAAGACACTCCGTGTGATTTCTCCATCCTCAATCCCACAACACCAAGGCGTAGGAGACTTTGCTTCCTGCCAATGAGAAGGTAGGCGAGTAGCAGACATGAAATAGAGAGGAGGGGGGGGAAACAGTTTTAGCTTTGCATCACACTGCTTGTCTTTTATCATGCATGCAGCTACATACACGGAGGAGTGGGCAATGTGAAGGCATTGATCCCAGCCAAAGCCCCAGGCCACTGTCGTCCATGAAAAAGGACAGGAGAAGCAGGGAATACAAAGCACTGAACATTTATGGGAGGTTCATCTTAATGATTATATAATATTGACAATAGACTGAGGCAAGAAGGATTGCCAGAGGTTGCACAGCAGTGAGGTTGGCTTGTTAGTATCGTTGCATTGGTTACTGAATGGGTCTATGGATTCAGGCCCGGGGCTCATAGACCCATGGACCAGGCATAAAGTGTCTGCAAAGAACAAAAAAATATGTTAAACGGGCAAAAACAGACACAAAATTACCACAAACACACCATAAACAACCACAGAGACTCAAAACGACCCCATCGAAACAAAAAGCAACATGAAGAGACATTAAAACAGCCACAAATCTTTAAAATAAACAGCAAGGAACAACAAATGACCACAAATATGTCCAAAACGACCCCATCGAAACAAAAAGCAACATGAAGAGACATTAAAACAGCCACAAACACTTAAAATAAACAGCAAGAAACAACAAATGACCACAAATATGTCCAAAATGACCCCAAAGAAACAAAAACCCTCCACAAATACGCAAAGTGACCACAAAGAGATACAAAACCACTAAAGAAATGAAAAAAAAACTACCTCAGAGAGATGCAATATTATCTCAATGTAACGCATAATTACCTAAAACAAGTAAAGGGCACTTTACCAATGCACTTCCTTCTTTAAAACTGTTCCCCAGTCTGTCCCTCAATTCAAAAGATTCTAAACAGGACCTCTAGTATTTAAGGGATCTGGTACTGTGTAAGTAAGTGTAAACCTCAAATGAAGCCATCAGTTTTCCCATGACATATAAATAACTCAGTTGATTAGGATTACAGATCTCTGCTTGGTTTACAGAGATGGAATACTTTCTGTGGTTGGGGTGTTTTTTCTTTGGTGCTGTTGAATCAGCACAATTGTACCAATGTTGATGTCACTGGCTTTATTTGCCTGGTGACAGGACTGCAGCTCAAGCTGGTGTTTACAGTATGTGGCAGAGATTTACACAGTCCTGTTTTTATGCAACATGGAAAGGAAGAGTCAGCCTTTTATTGCAGAATGTACCACTTGTAATGTTATCCTGTGTGCCCACTTTTAAAGGCCAGGGTTTGTGATCCATGTCATTTATGCTTCATGGTCAGCCAGAGCCCCCTCCAGTGGTCTTGGGTGGTATTATAGGCCACCCACAAGCACCAGAGCAGGCAAGCCAGGCTTCATGTCACCACATTGTGGAACATTTATTTAAAGCTAAGTTGAAACGGAGTATGCTGCAAAAGAGAAAGGGAAAACATCTCTGGCAGCTTCAGTGAATGTTGCATGGCTGACCCTGTCTTACTAAACTGACAATAAACAGGCCACATACAAGTTAGTACACACACACACACACACACACACACACACACACACACACACACACACACACACACACACACACACACACACACACACACACACACACACACACACTCCCCCTTTCTCTAGTAGAATTTATACAGTTGAGTCTCCGTACTTACGATAATGTCTCATGACATACGCCGCCAAGACGTGTGTAGAGTATTGTCGTTCCATATTATAGACGTTTGCTGTGAAACACTCCTGTTTGCCATGTCAATAAGACCGTCGGTGTAACACTGTAAAAAAATGTTGTCACACATCAATAAAACGGGAGGGAGACTTCAGATAGTCCATCAGTGTTTTGTTGTGCCAGTTATACTATGAAGGGTCCTAAATTGGAGATTAGAGTAGTTATGTTCAAACTTAGTGAAAGGGGATTCTCGTTGTCCCACTCCTAGAGACGTCCAAGAAATGAGCGAGAGAGTTTAGGGCCCGAACAGGTGTAGCATACATAACAAGAGGTCGAGCTTTTCCTCTATATTCTCCCAGGTGCAGTCAACAGCATCTCCCGAGACTTTTACTTTCGGGCACGAACCGCTCAAGACTCGATCCCCTTGGCGAGCCTCCCTCTTCCACGAAAAGACGCACACGGTACCACCACCCACTAGCTAGACTCCTCTCAATACCCAGACCCCTTATCTGCCCTCATTGTAACTTCGACATCACCAGCCTAGGAGCACGGCCCGGAAGGTCAGTATTTGTTACTTACCGCGTCGTGGAGGTTGGCAAAGAGTCGCCGTCGCTGTAGTACCTCCTCACGTTACAGACAGAATAAGGATCGCCCCAAACAGACACTTGTTGTCAATAAAGAGTTCATATGATACTTTTGGATCTCCAAATTACCGAAATTTCTCCTTGAACGTCTGGTCACTAATCAGTTTACACAATCTTACAATTACTACCATAATTGTAAATTCTAAAGTTTTTCTCATTACTGGACGATCCGGCAGGTCTCTGGATCAACTCGTCGGTTCCTAATCTTCATTATATTATTGCCGTAGCCGACTATTAAACATCGACACCACACCTTCCTCTCAGGTCACCTACTGTCCCGTCACAGGAACCACTCAACTTCTGGTAGTATATGATTGCTAAATAACCCTACTCCCCTAATGTTTTTTTCAAGTGGTAAAAACACTCTGGGAAGAGTATGACAAGATTTCAATAATAAATTAAAAAAATTTTGAACTTATTCAATAATATAAATACCCAACATAGGTAAATACTAAAATTTTTAAACGAGTTATCAAATCCGAACCGTTTCATAAATAGAATCTATTAATAATAAATTATCGGTGGAGATTTGTATACTGACCACTGACTGCTTTGGTACGGAGAATGTAACGGGTCACATTTGTGTAATATGGTTAAGTCGAAAGTCAGAAAAGATATTTAATAATCAATTACGAAAAACACAAGATAAGGATTTATTCGTAATTTTACTACACCCAAACTTGTAAACAGATGTGAAAAACAATACTGACTTTGAGGCGACTTCAGTTACTTCACAACTATTATACAAAACCAAAATGGTTGACTTTCGATAAAAGGAAACTTGTACAGAATAAAACATATGACAGTCTATTCAAAAGGTCTGTTACTGGATATATTTAAATCAATCATACGCCCAGTATCTTACGATTATGTATAGGATTAACCAGTAGTATTTATAGTCCTTACGTCTCAGAGAACCGACTAATGTATCTTACGTATAAATATAAAGGTTTATAGACAGTTTGTTCATTGACCGGACATTGGACGGGTTCTTCTACATAAAGAACAAATATAGTACATTCTCCCCCCATCACACACACCCACACACCACACACACACACACACACACACACACACACACACACACACACATGT